AAAATAGTTAATGGTGGCAACAGACATACCTTTACTACATTTAAGGTAAAAATAGTTAATGGTGGCAACAGACATACCTTTACTACATTTAATGTAAAAATAGTTAATGGTGGCAACAGACATACCTTTACTACATTTAATGTAAAAATAGTTAATGGTGGCAACAGACATACCTTTACTACATTCCATGGCAATGTGATAATTGCAAGAAACATATCTACACTAATCTTAATGACAATTTGGTGTTACTAAGAGATGTATCTCTTACTACACCTAATGACAATGTGTCATTAAATGTTTTAAGAGATGTCTGTTGCTAACATCAAATTGCCATTAACTGTAGTATTATAAATTTCTTGCAACTATCATATTGCTATGAAATGTAGTAAAGATTTCTCTGTTGTTATCAGCAAAAAATTTTCCATTAAGTTTAGTAAACATATGTCTGTTGTTAACAACAAATTATAATCAAATGGAGTAGGGATAGTCTGTTATTAACATTTAGTTGATTTAATTTAAACAAAGTATCTCCACTATAAATATAAACCTGATTTGAGATGCAGTATGATTTGCCTGTTTATAGATCATCACAACTGCTATACCTACACTGATGGTAATCAACATATTATTTACCTTACATCTAGAATCAAGTTTAAGTTTCTTTAAGTTTAGATTAATTTATTATTCTTAAATCAAATTGTAAAGAAAAAAGCAAGAAATAAGATAAGTCTTGAGTAAACCCATCATTATATACTCTTATAAAACTACCTACTGGTAAGATTTAGAATCAAGTACAATGTTGTATGTTTTTCTTTCAGGGATATTTTGTGTGGCATGCTACACTGCTCAAAAGGAGAAGACCTAATGATTGGGTCAAAGTCTGGTTATACCCGATATACATCTAAATGGACTGGCTCTTCTAAAATCACTTGCGTTATGGCAAATATAGATTTGGGCTTGACTGTTAAAGACCCTGGCCAGAGTCCTGATGGAGCCAAATGTGGCAAGTCCAAAGTAAGATTTTTTAAACATCACCTGCTGACTAAATGTTACATTTTAATCTAATTGTTTTACAAACAACTTTTGAGATGAGAGCTAAATCTTAAGAAGAAAGGCTAGTTATGAACAAAATTCGCTGCTTTCCTACTTTAAAACTGAAAAATATTAGGTTTATATCTATAGAATGTTTGTAGATTGCAACAAAAAGAAAACTTGAAAAATATTGGCCATTTTGTAAAGTTTGTGTTTAAGTGTCAGTGTTTCAAATTTTGCAGTTTTATTTTTAATTTTTTTGGCTGATAACTAATTGTGAGTTGATTAGAAACTAATATTTTGTTTTTGTATTTTATTAACACTATTAAAGAAGATTTAAAAGGGTGTTAACTGTCAAGGAATGTATTCTAGCTTTGAACTTTGGTTGTTTCAAGATCTCAGACACTTATTAGGCCACTACAAATGTAATGAATGCTTCATAAATCCAAGAATTCAACAATTTGGATAAATTTTTCTATGAATACGTCAAACTTAGCAATTAAGCATGAACTAATTATCCTTCCGTTAATGCACTGAATAAGGTTAATAAAATAAGTTAAAGACTGTTCTCCCCCCCAAGTTAAAACTACATACTTTGTATCTTTTTAAAGTAAAAATTAAATGAAATATTTCATAATAAAGTCTAAAAATATCTCCCCAATCTTTTAAAAATGTAGCAAATTCTAACCTGAAGTTTAACAACCACATGTTCTTTATAAAATATCTATTAAACTGCTGAGGACTTTCATTAAACTAAGTAACTCCAATTAACTGTTTTAACATGCTGTCAGCATGAAGCTTATAATCAGCATTTATTGGTAACATGGAATTTAGCAGCATATACACATCATATGATCAGTTTTATTAGTAGCATGGAGCTTACTGTCAACATTTCTTGGTAATATAAAGTGTAGCAGCGTCTACATAACATGTGACCAGTTTTATTAATAGCATGGAAATTACAGTCAGCATTTATTGGTAACAGAGTGTAGCAGCATCTACGCAACATATGACCAATTTTATTAGTAGCATGGAGTTTACAGTCAACATTTATATTGGTAACATGGATTCTAGACAAATATGATCAGTTTTATTCTTTACATGCTAATATTTATTTTTGAACTTACCTTGTTAAATAATAGCTCCTTAGGTTCCTATATCTGATCTGCCAGTTTTTACCTTGTTAAAGAATAGCTTCTTAGGTTACTATATTTGATCTGCCAGTTTGATCATTTTATTAAAATCAAATCAGATATTTGTTGGTATTAAATTGTTTGTAATGTTTATTCATATTAGATGTGTTACAAAGGAAGATGTTTGGATGTGACTGACATAAGTACATCCTGTCCATACAATTGTTACGGAAATGGAGTAAGTGTTTAAAACTTCATCATTGGACTTAGTAACTGTTTAGCAGCTTCTCATTAAATGTAGACTGCTTTTTTATTTTAGTAATATTTATTAACTAGATCTTTTTAAGATTGATAAAAATCATAATGATTTGTGTCTAACAAAATTATATCTGATAGGAGTAAGTACAGTGAACTTTGCCGTTTTTCAAAGTTTTATGTTTCATTTTGATATTCTGAACTTTCCTATAGTTATGCAACAGTAAAGGGAATTGCCATTGCAATGAAGGATATGGACCTCCATACTGTAACGGGCCAGGCTACGGGGGTAGCGTTGACAGTGGGCCAGCGACCAGAGGTAGTATCTTTTTTATGTTTTTTTAAGGATTTCTTCTTATCATGTTGCTGTAATATTCAGTAGTTTACCTGTGTTTTGAAATTAACTGAAATAGCGTGATAGGCCTAATTAGATTTTTAACATGACATTTTAATATAAAGTTGTTTTATTTTATTACATTTTCCTTACCAGCCTTATAACTTAAGATGATATTTTACATAAAAACATTTCAAATAATGTTTTCAGCTTTTCCAAAAGAAAGAAACATGAGAATTTTTTTCAGTATTTCTGTGCTTAACACATTACTGGTTAATTTGTCATATTTTAAAAGAAGCCTATTGGTGAAATTAGACGTTGGTTTTTACAACAAGAGCCTATTAGTATAGAGGTAAGACCAACAGTGTCTATTTGTGAAGTATTCCTTTCGACTGATGTATAAATTAAAAGTAAACTTTTATCAGTAAAGTTTTATGTAAAATAGTTTCCTAATATAACTTACAAACAGATTAAATGGCTTCTGAGGTCATCAAACTTCAACATAGTTTCATGCATTAGTGGCTTTTCATTAACTAAAGCTAGTGAGTAGGATCTTAAGTATCAACTATCAGGTAGACATTGACAGGATACTTTAGTATTTCTCAGAACTGTCTCAACATTGATGTTCTGAGAGTTGGGTAGAAATCTCAAGAAAAATGAGACGTTTTTCTTGTTATGCTACAGTTGGAAAAAGAAGTTACTCCTCATGCACATATATCTCTTAACGCATGTCATATATTGCATATTTTATAATCAAACTGTAAACAAAATATTTTTTTTTTCTTGGGCTGTTTTCTTTAATTATTTGATTCTGGATAATACTTGCTTTTTTATGTCATCAGTAATTTATGTCTTACTTATTGTAATCATTTTTATTTATTATAGCTCACTATGGAAACATGCTTACCATTTATATCATATGTCTCGGCATCTTACCTCTGCTGTTTATCATTTGCTTAGTAATTTACTGCTTTCGACACCAGGTGGCCAATACAAAAATTGGCAGGATTTGGAAAACATCAATCATGTAAGTTTTACTAATAACTCGCATAATATGATGTATTAAATAATTATATTGGTAAATTCACAGTGAATAGTTTGCAACTGTGTTTTAAAAGAAATGCCAAAAGACATTACCCTCTCTCTAACATATCCTTTACTAAAAGAAGCTAATGTATTTGATGGTTCATACTTTTCTTTCAGCTATCTGATGGTAATTTGACACCTAATTATAACAAATGGCAGGTTGAACATGTGGAAAAATAAATGCTTTTAAGTACCACACAGTTTGTTGGGAAACCTGTAATGTAATTAAAATAAGATAAAATTATGTTATATTCCTTCTGAAAAAACGCTTAGCTATTTAACCTATATTTCACCAGACTTTCAACTGAGGGTTTTCTTTTTCAGCACAAATTATCAGTTCTTTCGGGGCAGTAGTCACAGTTCTTTGCCAGGAAGAAAGAATCTTCCGAAGTCTACTCCCCCTAACTTAACACAGAATAAAGGGAGAACAGTAGCACTTAAGATCTGTCAGAAAGAAACAACTTCACATGCCATATCCAATACTAATGAGATTTCAGTTCCTTGGCTACAAACTTCAAAAATGAAAACAGAAACACGCTGTATTGTGCCTGTACGTCCTGCACCTCTTGTTCCAGAAAAAAAACAACCTTACAGTTTACCAGAAAAACCATCTATGATTTTCTCAAGTTCCTCTTCAAAATCATCTTCTTTGAATACTTCAAAAATAGAAGCTGTACATGTTCCAAAAAGTTCTGTAAACATATCGACAGCACCTGTGTTACTCCTACCAAGTTCACTAAAGAAACCCCCCTTAAAGCCTCCTATGCCACCCCAAAACAGAACTTCAGCAATAGGATCAAAGGAACCAATCTCTAGTCGTCCTCCACTACTACCTCCTACCAAGTCTCGAGTAAAGCTAGTCACAGCAGACAAGTCTTCTCAGGGTGACCCCAAAGAAACCGTTTGCTCAACATTTGAAGTTTCTCGAAATCGCACCGCTCAGGGTGGACACATATCTTCTCTACCAAAAATTACCAACAAAACATCATCTAGTGAGAATGACAAAGCACCAACAGTGGCATCATTAAGACAAGCTTTTGAAACTGCCAATCTCAAGAGAAATCAAGAGTGATTCTAGAACACTGTGGTATTTAAACTGTTGTGTAAATAAGTGATATAAGTTTTGTACTTATTCTGTCTGTGTGTATGTATGATTGTAATGAAAACAATTCATCATCATTACTCAGATCTCCTCCTCCCAAGGAAGGTGTAGTCGATACATATCTAACTCCTTTATTTTTGAGTTTGTTAATACGTCCAATGATGTCCTTACTTAATATATTTATAAAAGCTTTATTGAAGAGATAATATGGTCCAACTGGCATAAGCCAGACACATGATCTTTATAAACAACATGGCACATTGTTGTGGCAAAGATGTTATATAAACAAGGCTGAGTGATTACAAACTGTTTTGTAAATAAAGTTGAATCTACACTTATGACAATATTGTATTTTATCTCCACAAGTTTGAAAATATTTATTTTCTATGTGATGATATAGATGTTTACAGAATAAAAATGTTAAAAATAAGAATTTAAAGCTTTATAAGGTAAAATGGAAATACAACAGGTTTGTCTTGGTTCACAAGAACACTACTTGTTTTTAGTTGTGGAAACTAATACATAAAATAAAGGTTAATCTTCAAATGATTTGCATATTGCGTTATTTCTATCAATTACCTCGTAGGACCATCTTCAATTCAATACCATATTTTACCCTTTTTTCTTGTTATTATATAAAATTTAAATAAAACATATTCAAAGTGCGTTAACTAAAGTATCCTGGTAGGTCAGCTGTAAGTTTACGGACTTACAACACTAAAACCTGCAGTTCGATTCCCCACGATGGACAAGGTGCAGATAGCCCATTTTGTAGCTTTGTGCTAAAATAATAAGAACTGTTTACTGAAAAACATAAATAAACAATATAAATAACAAATTTGGAATTTAAAAACCTGCAAATATGGATCTAAAAAGTAGGGAAACAAAGATGTAGACATTGTTTACTCAAACTACAAACCCCTATTTTGGTTCCATGCTGTTACTTAGAATTACATTTGGTAAAGTCAAAATAGGAGTTTGTAGTTTCAGTAAATAATGTCTACAGTATCTCCAGCCTTGTTTCATTACTTTTTTTACAATCCCCATTTGCAGGTTTTTAAATTCCAAATTTCTTATTTATCTTGTTTGCTTCCTTTTTTATGCTCAACCACGGACAAAGGATTAACTGATATATTAGCTTATTTTATACATTGTAATGATAATAAACATAGCTAGTAGCTAGCTGGTATGTTCATGATGATTTACTGAACTATTGACTATTTGATTGTATTAGTTCGAGATGTAAAAATGTTAAGCTGTAGATTGTCATGGAGATTTGTTTGAGAATATAGTGAGCATTTATAGTTTCTGTGAAACTAAATACTCCATATATAATGCATAGCAATGGGCAAATATATGCCTAGACTAAGACACAACCCCCTACTAAATGCAAAAAAAACTTTACCAGTAGAAAAGCAGCCTTTTCAAATAAAACATATACGTCTCAAACATCACTTAAAATAAACCTTCGTATCTTTTAAAGTAATTATTCTACGAATGTGTGTAATCAAATTAAATATTATGTGTATTGATTTTTTCTTTTTCATCCTTCCCTATAGACACCGATTGTATAGTGTACAAAGCATTGAGTAGCTACATGTGATAGTCATCCAACGTTCATCTATTATTGTTTGGTAATTCCTGTTTCACCCTGTACTTAAGCTTTTTAAAGGAATATCAGATATTTGTAAGATAGCTAACTTCAAGGGGTAATGTTAACATTGTTTATACAAAAATTATAATGATTTTTAGCTTAAGTAAAATATACAAGAAACAACTCGACTTTTTGATACCCCTACGACCTTCGCAGTACCTTATTTATTTTTATACAAAAGATTTGGGTGCAATATGCCAAACCGTTTTTGTTGTAGGTTGGCGAGAGAATAATGATAAGAATTACAAACAGGTCATTTTAAGCTTATTTTCTTTTCTTTGTAAGTCTAATAACATTCATACTTTTTTTGTAATTTTTG